TACCCATATGATCCCAGCAGAGAACTAGAAAGATTGTCTTTGGGTACATATTGGATAGGATAGGATAGCCACAGGGTACTTACAGAAAAATAAGTCACATCACAATACAATGCAGACCTCATTGTATTGAGGTCTGCATTGTTACTCATTGAAGTAACAAGCAGGCACCCTGCAAGTTATTTCCAGGAACCTTTTAGGTACCCAGCAGTTTTCATGGGTTGGTTCCCAGTCTCTCCAGCCTCACCAGAATCCCTTTTATCCATTCTGAGGGTCGTTTTATTGAACTGTCATGACTCATGTATTTCCTGGGCTTGAAGGGCTCATTTTAAATTAGCCGAGAATGTTCAATGGCAGGATCGTCGAAGCAAGTCCACTCAATATCACACGGCCCGCCGCCTTGTCTTTAATGGATCATGAAAAATGATGAATGATGTGCTGAGGCCAGCCATCCCCCTGCAACACCTGCTCTCTTCTATTGACAACACAATGCAGGGCAACCGAAGCACCAACACCCCCACCTTCAAGACACAAGCCTATACAGTTGATACATTGATCAAAATCCTGCCATGGCCCTCATTTATAATTTAATTTGTTCTCTCCCAAGCATATAAGTTATTAACAGGTGCAAACTCTAGTACAAGATGTGAAGAGTACAAAGAGAAGTTGGTCCAGTAGATAAGAAAGAGAATACACTGGACATATGCAGGAACAGACAGAGCACAAAAAGAACTAATGGCGTCATGGCCCCGGTCTGTAAAATCTGCCTGAGTCGACCTTCAGGAGCTGCTCGACCATGGAGAGAGCTTTCATTAGTCTGACTCCATGTGATTATCACTGAGAACAGATTCATTATTCTTGAAATGGAAGAAATGAGTGGGCTAAAATGTAAAGATTTCACCTAGGGGAAGCCAGTAACGAGCCTGACAACTTAAAGTTGATTACATTCTGACCTCCTGCTCGCTCGTATTTCATTTTTATATATATATATATATATGTTCCCGTGTTCAAACTGTCCCAAAACCTTTAAATACGATCCTGGAGTTGGAGACATGATAAAGCAGAAACAGGTTCAAAAGGAATGATTTATTTTTTATTTATTTTTTTGCTCCTTGTCAGGTTCTCTGGTAAAGGCAGAAAGTTGACTTAAAAACAACCTTTTTTTTGTTCATATTTGTTGCAGCTGTCACTGCGGCCCTGACTGAAAAACATGAGGCAGACGATATGTGAAAAACTAAATTTTCTAGTCTCTCTCTAAAGCACAAACTTGTGAAAGCCTGGAAGAATCATCTAACCTCAGTGAGTCAGTGCAGTTACTGTGGTTACAAGCCTTCACAAGCAGCTTCAAAGGCAGCCTAATTCATCAGAGTTATGCTTTAAGCATGTTTTTATCCAGAAACATACGTTAAAAATAGGTTTTACTATGATAAGGAGATGGTGCTGTTTGTATCCATACAGTATCTGATAAATAACCATGCAAGTTTGGACTTTTTAAAGCAGAATCAGCTTCACAAAAACAACACAGTATACTATAATTCCTCTTATATTTAAAGGTAATGATGATTTGTTTTTAAAAGTTATGCACACACTCTTTCAGACGAACAAATATGGTTTCAGCTCCTTTTTGTTTGTACCTTCAGAGAATCTTCAGTGGATGTGTTTTGTTTGGGGTTAATTACATTTTCTTTTCTAAACTGAATAGATTTTATTGTACAACCTACAAAAAAAAGACAGAAAAATCTTGTTTAACAAGGTTATTGTGATGCAGAACCAAAATGCTCTCAAATAAACAAGACCAAAAAAGAAAGGTAGTTTGTGATTTATTTTCATCTCTAAATGACTGCTTTCTGAAGCGTTAGTCTCCTTAGTTTAGTGTTGATTTCTTAAAAATCAACACTAAACACAAGGAAAAGCAGTCATAATTGCCAAAAAGGAGAGGAAACTGCAGATGCATTATTTGTCTGACTGTAATGTTTCAAGTCCCATGCGTTGAAACTCTGAAAAGTAACATATTTGGACATTTGAATGGCCGTTCTCTGCCTTATATCAGTTTTAATAACCATTAGAGTTTCAACTGTCACTTCTGTGTCTGTGGTGTGGATCCTCTTTGTCTCAAGTTGAACAAGTCACTTCTGAGAAGATGACTTGGTTAAACCCCAGCTGAACAAAAACTGCCCTTAAATCAAAGTGAAAACCCCCCACATCAGTTTCCACAGCCACAGTTTGAAAATGTATCACTAGGGTGCAACATCGATTGGAAAACATCAACCCAGATTCTCCAATATGCTCAAATGGACTGAAGTGGTCATTATCTTGTGCTTAAAAAGAAATGTATTTGTCATTCAATGAAAATCAATGGATTTCTCGTTCCTGGCAGCAGTTATTCCCACATCCAAACTGTGATAAGACAGCTTTGAGGGTGTTACATATAAAATAACTATAAACACATCTGCCTATCTTATGGTTTTGGAGAAGCAGATGGTTTGGCTGTGGGGATGAGCTATTTATCCATATTTTTGTTACTTTTGGCTCCAAACAGTCATTAAAATCATTTAAAAAAGAAAATTGGTGTACAATTGTTGTGAAAATGTAACACAAAGAGGCAGAAAGAAGAGGAGCAGCAGCTGCTGGAATGAACCCAGCAGGAAGGAACCGACACATGGTTGCTATGAGATGTCCTGCAGTAAGCTGCACAGATTACCAAAACAACCAGCAGCAACAACAGCAACATTTAGCATTTAGTTAAACATTATAATATTTAATTCAGTTAATTTGTGTGGAAACATGTTGGGTTCTGAAACACACATGTTCTGCTCCTCCATGGTGACTCCACAACTCTACAATAATTAAAACAGCCACTTGAAATTTATGAGTGACTAAATGTATGAACGATATTTGGCCTAAATCTAAATAAACATATAAGATCTCTTATGCAAATTTGACTGTTTTAAAATATCATTCTTATTCATTATATTTGATTTTTTTCCCCCACTGATTTGCGTTTATTCTTTTTTGCTGAATGAAATCTTACATTTAAAATGCAGTTACTTCAGGGGTATCAAGGTCAAAAGCTTTATTTTGATTGTGGCTTAAGCAAAATAACTGCCAGAACATCCAGAGGAAAAGAGCATGTCTTGGCAGCTGCAGTTTTATGTCTGACCTGCTCTGTGTGCGTCATCACTACTCAAAACATCCTGTTGATGGGTACTTACTAACAAATTAGTCATAAAGAAAGTATACCATCAATAAATTCAAGAGTTTTACATAGATTCTTGTGAACGCCTAGAAACTATGTAAAAGTGATTCCAGCCGCTTGCGAATAGTTGAAATGTATTAGTAGCTAAACTACCTTTTTAAAAGTTCAAACAACAAAGATATCGTAATATGGACAGTAGAGGCCATAAATGCTAGCATGTATAGTCTTATTTACTTTTGTTTTTGAGGGTTCAGCCAATTTGTGCCAAGGAAATAAATGATGCTTCTGGATTGGTTGCTTTGCAAATGCCAGCCAATGGTGTGTCAAGTAGCATTGCATCTTGGTATTTAAGCTTCCCAAGCTGCATTTTCTTTTGAATATATTAGATATGCACTATGAAAAAGTTCTCCAATGGACAAATATTCCATAAATAATCTGGATGCATTTTATTGAAAAATGTATGACTATTGAACCACATATAAGCAGGGCTTCAGTGGATAGGGGGGCTTAGAGGTACACTTAGTTTTTCCACACAGCTTTTTTTTTCATTTGGTTCTAATTTTTGCTCAATAAATAATGACAGTAAAATCTGGTGGTTGTGGTTTAGGACAGTGTTTTTCAAAGTGGGGACCACAGCTCACTGGAGAGTCAAAATTAAAATCTAACTGCATTTGAGGCTGAAACTTAAAGATTTGAGCAAACATCTCCATTTCTGTCAGTTTTTGAATTTTTTTAAAGGTCGCCTAAAGGTCTTAAAGGATGAAATTTAAAGAGCTGAAAATGGGAGCCAACAAAAGTGCTGGTGTTCGCACTACTGACTGTTTTAACGTACATCATTAATCTCACCAGTGTAAAACAGCACAATGACACATCAATGCTCCCTATACAGTTGTCAACTACGGCTGTAGGTATTTCTGAACTTTTCAAATTCTGAAATTTCCAAGTTTTTGTCGACATTTCCTGAGATTAATCTCAAAGTGTCACAATTTTTTCTTGCAAATTTTCAACTTTTGAATCTTTTGGCTATGCCTGTAGTTGACTGGAGTGTAAAAACAATTGCACCGTCTTATGTATTAGGGCTGTTGTACGTCTACATTTCTGCCAAGAAACTTAGAAATTCTGAGATTAAACTCAAAAAATTTCTAGAAAACAACATGGAAATTTCTGAGTTTTAGAAAGTCATTAATTTGCTAGAAACAATGCAGAAATTTTCAGATCTCAGAAATTTTTGAGAAAAAACATCGGTATTTCAGAACTTTTCAAATTTGTAAATTTCCAAGTTTTTGTCAACATTTTCTGAGAATCTCAAAATGTCAAAAAAAATTTTCTTGCAAATTTTCAACTTTTGAATCTTTTGGCATTTTGGCATAAATGGACTCCATTTTTTTTCTATCTATAATGGCCCGAATGCGCTGTTGTAGATGTGGCTTACAAGTTGTTGAGTTCCAACTTCAATCATTTTAATTGAAGTATATAATTGTGGAGTTTTACTGTTTTCCTGCTGCTGTCGAAACAACTAGAAACTTGGTGGGAACTGTTTCTGCAGGTTTGGCACTTCTAAAAGCATCTAATGGAGCTTTTACTGTTCATTTGTTTCGTTATCAATTTATATATAGAATCATATCTACCTCCCCTGATCGCATCCAAGGCAGGAATCAAATCAAAAACACATGTGGGGCAGCTGGAAATGTCTTTTTTATGCTTTCCTGATGATGTGACTGTGGTTCTGCGGAGGGCTAAAGGGATTACATTTGCCCCGAATCACATCTCACAGACACAGGCATGGGGGAAATGTGGTTTACCGTACCTTTATGATGTCTTCATTAGACGACTTGCATTGCACAAAGGCTGAGACGTCGGCAACGGCTCCGTTCATCTCTATGGAGACCATTTTGACGGGAATGGCCACGGTGCGTCCGGTCAGAATGGCCGTGTTGATTATCTCTGTGTCCTGTAGGGACAGAAGGGGAAAAAACAGGCGTTCATGACACAGTGTGAAGCAGGGAGTGATTTTCCTCCATAATTCATCAGCGTGGGTGAAGTCCACATTTAAAAATCATTACCATGGCGGCCCCCGTGCCGTCCAGGTGACGCTCTCAGAGCCAGACCGCAGCTCGTTTCTGTGCACTTAAATATCTTTCCTTGGATTTCATCATTTCAAGGGCACTTTTCTCCCAATGAGTGAGTGGAAATAACAGAAAATAAGATTTGAAAGAACAGGAAAGTATTACCCTTTACTTTAATCATACAGGAAAGTCGTTTTGGTTCCATATTGGGTCTAAAATTCAGGATAGACATTTAGAGTAGTGCACCACAGGGTGTGATGCATCTAACCTTTATATGATTGGAGTTATAGCACTTTAAGATGCTTCGTATTGTCGTAACACGAATGAAAATGCTTTATGAGGCGTTTCAGTAATGCTTCCTTTTCCTTCATATGGTATATTTTGTTCTGCCCCTTCAGTAAAGGTTTTCGTCCTTCGCAAACTGATTTTTGGGTAGACCAGAGAAAACAACAGCAGCCATTTTCAAAGAGAAGCCATAAGTAGAATAGTTTCATTCAAGAACTAAAAAGAGCAGAATGGAGTTTTTAAAATTCATCTATTACATAATTTCATCTAGATAGACTGACGAGTAAATTTTCATAAAGTGTCTGTAAAATGAAGAATTAGAGGTTGTTGCAGTCATTTAAACTCACAATTTGACCCAAACTATTAAAAACTCTGAGCACATGCTGACATTGTGTATACTAAATGATAAATATTGAAAAAATATTGCTTGAGTGTTGTTTTTTCATGACAGTTCTCATTTGTTGTTTAAAACTGAGATCAGATAAACCTCCAGATATCTGTCGGTCACTTCCTTGTAGGAAGAATTACACTTTTTTTTTTTAAATCACCTTTGGTATATTTATTTTAAATAAATGTTTTCCTTCTTTTTCCTGACAACCCTGAATAAATACTGTTACAAATGGAATATTATCCTCTTTTTTAAATCCTCACTGATTTACTTAAACATATATGCACATTACTTATTTATGAGTTTTGGGGGGATATATTTTCTCATTCTTGGCAAAGGAGAAACCCTGGAGACGGTCTAAATTTATGAAAGTCTCCTAAAACTAAAAATAGTACATTTAAATTTCAGCGCAGCTCTCATTTTACAGTTTTAATGAGTCTGCAGAGCGTATAGTAGCACCTCTCCCCTCGTGGGTTTAATCTAAACTGCAAGGCAAAGAAGTGTTTAGCAGTCAGAGGAGAATTACGCAAGCTCTGCACTTATTATAATTTAACACACAAAACAAACATTTCATGACACTTTTTTTTTTTTTTGGTTTTCTGTTTGACCCCCACTTGATATTTATTGTGCCGACCTCACCCAACTCAGGGATCGCTGCTGCCTCTGTCTAGCAGTATAAATTTGCATTTATTTGCACTTCTTAAAACTAGAAATGTGCAAATTTATTTGTAAAGAGCTGGATTTACAAGCTGGGAGTAAACTTTCAATCTAGTTTGAGATACATAACTACATATTTGTAATGGTGTATCTCTATTGCAACAGAGGTGTCCAACATTTTGAAACATGGGCCAAAAATGTCAAATTGAAACTACTCCAGCAGCAACATTTTTTTTTTTGTTTTTTTTAGCATTTTCACTACAATTGTAACTGCTCCATTTGCTGGCAGAGTAAGTTCATGTAGCAACAGGTACACTACATGTCCATCTTACCTTACAGATGAAAGCTAGCTAAACAAATTTTGCTAGTTCGGCAGTAAGTACTGTCGTAAATGTCACTGATATTTATCTCAGAATTGTCTCAAAATTGTAATTTTTGATTCCTTGATTACAATGTAATGTTATACTATTTATAAGCTGGAAGTGAGGCAAATGCTAATTCTTAGCTTGAGGTTTGTTTATTGTTGTCATAGCAACTGGGTGTCAAGATTGATTTTAGTTATAAAGTTCACGGAAGTGTGACATCACATGAGTACTATGCATAAAAAAATTATATTTAATGCAAAAACATTTTAGCTTTAAGCATATAAGCATTCACAGACTCCCCTGGAAGAAGAGTTAGTCACTAAAGGTCACTGTTGAAGTGACTTTTAGTCACCTTTAGTTGCCATAGCAACTACTGATTCAGCATTTTCTGGATCACTGTCCAACATTAGTCAGCAGGTTCTTCTTTCTTATATCAAGAATGAAGTGTCAAACACAGTAGAGTTAAAGAAGGAGGCTGTATACTGAGTTTTAAGCTTTAGCTGTATCTTTTTTTTTCTCTCTGGATTAAAGGATTTTGTCATTTTTTAACTTTTTTTTTTTTTTTTTTTAATTTGTCTAATTTCCACAGCGGATCCCGTGTGGGTAACAGACTGGACTCTGGGGTAAAATCCTAATTGAAAGAGATCATCCTCCTAAGCTCCGCTCGCCGTTTTGGCATCTGGAGCGCATTCACCACACGGCACACTTTGCAGATAAATGTACGCTGCTATGGGAACTCTAATTATGCTTACCTGAAAAAAAACAGTCATCACTGCACAGAGTTATCATTTCAGTAATTACCATGTCTGCAAAAGGCAGCCAGATACCTGCCAGGTACAAAAACGGACTTTGTTGATTTGGTACATACTGTTCTGAACTAATTTAAGCTTGGCTGCTTCAGTGTCTTTATCTATACAGAGCTGGGGTTTCCTAACTTTTTACCACAGGGGCCAAATTTGTTCCTGCAGGTGCCATTTTATCCCTGCAGTCTTCTGCAAAGGCTGCAGGGATACATTTTTTTGGAGCAAAAAATTGCACCAAAAGTATTTTAAGGCAATTAAATGATTTTCTTCTTAAGAAATGACAGAAAAAGTGTCAGTTCACATCAAATGTCATTGCTGAAAGGCCAAATCTTTACCTTTCTTAAATTATTTAGTCTAGACTAAACCTCAAACATTTGATGTTTTTAAAATATTTTACACCATTTATACACTAACCTGTTTTCAAGCCTTTGCAGAAGACTATATTCAAACCTCTGTCCTGTTGGAAGATACAGTGCAGAATGGAGTCAGTTTCTCTGTGAAAACTTTCTGTTTTGTCTAAACTCTGCCCAGAGATAAGAGTCATTTACTTGCAGTTATTGTCCCTGTATTTAATGGAATCCATTACCCAGCAGCTCCATCTGGCCTCTGGCTTTTTGTTTGATGGGTACTGAGGCGAAAAATTTTAGTCAGACATTAAATCCTCAACTGTACATTTCACTGACGTGTTTGTGTGTGTCTATCAATGAACGTTTATGTATATTAGCATAAAATTTATGGCTTTGCGTTCAACCAGCCTGAGAAACAATTAATTTAAAAAATAAATCACTAAACACTGGGTAGATGTCTTAACGTTAAGCATTGCCACTAACCCATGTGATACACCATTCACCAGGCTCCTTCTTGTTTGGATTTTTTTCCCTCTTCAAAGCAAAGACAAAGTCAGGTGTTTTATGCTGATAGCAGCCGATTTAACCATGCTGTGATGATGCTCCAAACACAGACCTGGCTGTGGTATTTTCATGTTTAAAAACTAAAGAAGGGAACATCCATCGCTGAGGGTTGTGAAAACAAAGCAACAGAAAACTCTGCAGACTTAAAAGGACCGATATTTAGCAGCAACATACAAAGAACAATGATACACGCAGAGTTTAGCCTCTTTAGATGCTGGTTGGGAGAATTCAGAAGCAGTAAGTCACTGTAACCCAACAAAACCAAAAAGATCTCAGAAACTAGATCTATTTGTAAAGGTTTTAAGCTTTAACTCAGGCAGAACAAAGTTTGCTTTTCAAAAGGTTGGAAAGAATTTCATTTTTGTTAAAATGTTTTTTCATATAGTCACTTATGATATATATGATAGATGGTCTCACACCAACACCGACAACGTTTCTCTTTAAAGGGCCGGGTTCATTTTTCAATCTGCTTCGATACAAGAAAAGAGATTTCTAACTTTTCATTGTTCTTTGTTTTTTCTTTTTCACCAAATACTTTTCAACGACATAACAGAAAAACGAAAAACCTAAAACTGGATGAAAACCCAGAGAAAACCAGTCAGGAGCTGAAAATGAATAAAAAGACACCATCTCTTTATTCATGGTTTTGTACATTTCCCAATGTACAAAACGGCCTTTATCTCTTATTAAAAACTGATACATTTATGACAGTTTCAAGCAACGCTGAATATTTATGGTCCATATGGGGTCCATTTATTTTTAAAAAATGTTGTTCAGATGAAACTGTCTACTGATCAACACTTTACGCTCTCACATCAGAACACCAGACTTTGCTCTTGTAAAAAGACAAATAAAAACAGAAACATGTTGGAGATCTTTACTCTGTAAGCTGTTCAAAAATAACACCTGGAAACTAAAAAAACAAAGTTACATCTTTGATCATCTTTTGTGTAACAGAGTAAAATCCTCACTTTATTTCAGAGTTTGCCTAGAAGGAGCACGTTTTAATCAATGTTTCTGTCCTGAAAGTGAGTCCAACTTCTTGAGACAAACACATTTTTTGCATTTTTGTCTTGTGACAGGGTTACTGTAGTGAGCCGTTTTAGATGACAGTACTAGATGACTGTATTGTCATTCTAGTACTGTTACTAGCCATTTGGGCACAAAAGCAGAAATGTGTAGTTTAGTTTTCAAAAAGTTTCTCTTAAATAAGGAGCAAGAAGGCTGATTTTAAGCAAGATTAAAACTAGGAAATAAAATATAATGAATGAATTGTAACAATAGTTGTGTTTCCATTACAATATGCTCAAAACTGACTACATTCCCCCAGTGTAAAAAAAACAACACATTTTTTTTACAATTGCAGTATTTCTATTAAATAAGAAACACAATTAAAATCACACATGAATACATTTGTTCATGTGATAAGTCATTAGAAAACATGGCTTTTGTTTTTCAACATTACAAGTTGTTCATGTTATGTAATGTGAAAAAAGTGTTTCTATCCAGTTTTACAAAAATAAACCAATTTACAGCTAAAAAAAGCCGCCTCATCTTAGTGCCAATGTTTTGTTTTGTTTTTTAATCAAAAAACTTACAAATTACAAACTTACTTATAAATTACACATTTATATGGTCAATGGTAACATAGCTAGTGAGTGTAATACAGAATTATTACTTATCCTCTAAAATTCTGTTTGAATAAGAGATTTTTGTGCCGTTATCACATGTTTGCATTTGAGGAAAGCCCCTAAAAATAAGAAGTTCAAACTTCAGTATCATGAAACGTTTTGTTTCCCTGAAGAAGATTTTAGTCTTTAGACGGGCAAAGCTGGTAGAAACAAAACCCGACAACACTTGCAGCTGTATGAGCCATTTTCAAATTCACATCTTGCTTAATTTATTTGCAAAAATTATTCACACATCAAACTTAAAAGTCCTAAAGAGCAAAGTTTCTCTGAAAACAATCAGGTAACCCTATGTCCATCCACCTCCTGATATTTTTTTCGTAGCCATAAAAACACCTGTCCTTATGTAAAACATGAGTATATGTTGGAAAATTACTTTTAATTATTGGTTGTAAAAGCGTGAATGGACTGACATGTGGTGACAGCTAATTATTATACCAGAACAAAAATGTCTGATATAAAACGATCAAAACTATAAAAGTTCAAAAATGCAAAGAAGCCAAAGTTCAAACGAAAGCTTCAGGAAGGACCTTTTAAAAGATAACATGGAAGTCTTGTTGATTGCTATGAACAGCAAAACATGAACCAGGTCTCAAGATATTTGCACATCACTGGAAACTGGTTTGCCACTGGAAACTGGTTTGCCAGTTTCCAGTGATGTGCAAATATCTTGAGACCTTGCTTCTCATCGAGACACTGATGGTTCTTCTCAGTTAAAGCTGCTTTATCCAAGATATTTGACAAAAGATGCTGCATCTGAAGACTAAGCCACGATGCAAACCAAAAGGGAATCAGTCATACACATAAATTGGTGCATAAAGAGGTGAAAGAGATGTTTGGTTTGATTTTTACTTTAACTGGACTTTAGGTTAGGGGCTGTAATGAAATGAGTAAATGAGAGAAATTGTATTTTTTTTTATGTTGAGATTTTTTTTTTGAAATTCAATACAGATTCCATCAAATTACCTAAAAAAATGGTTAATTTGTTTCATTGTGGAAACTGTCCCATGTTATCGAAGAAATTCAACTTACTTTCTTCAAATTTCAAGATTGTAATATTTTATCTTATTTCCAGCTGATGCTGGGCGCAAATCTGTCACCTGCAATGTTGACGTTAAATGACGTCACGATGAGACTTAAAGAACTGTTCCAGGTTCTCAAAAGTGTGAGCTGAACTCATGAACTGAAAACTGTGCTAACATTTCTAATTATGAAACAAAAACAAGAGTCTGACAGGAACTGAAGTTGTTTTACAAGACAAAGTGGTAGAAGCACCCATCTCTTCTCATTCTGCAGCGCTGCTCAACACATCTGGGCACAATATGCATGCAAATCCTGAGTGTCAAGGGAGGACAAGAGATTTTAAGTGAACCTTATGTTACAGCAGATGGGCCATCCACAACATCATAACTGGAGCTCAAGTATATTTAATGGAGCTTCATATGCAGAGCAGATCTAATTATGCAAACAAATACCAGCCAACTGGGAGTTATCTCGCTGACAAGCCAAGCACTGGGCCTTAAGAACTGCAGCTACGCACAAATAAACTGTTAGCATTATTTATGTTGCTGCATATCAATTCAGCACTCCTGCTGAGAGGTCTCAGTCTACAGAGATGACCTTTGTCCAAACCTAAGTGCTCTGGAGGAAACCCGACAGTATACAAGCCTCTAATCCTCACAATAATTTATCAAGTGCAGTAAAATGTCATTACAGCCAAAACCAACAATTTAAATCTATGATGATTAGGGCAAAAGGCAGAGAGGAGTCTGACGCTGCTGACGTCTCTGGCTTGATTAATGCCCTTTTGTTTTCTTAATCTGTTTACTGCCTTCAGTAATTACTACCTGGTGCCAGGAAAATACAGGGGACACTTGGACTTGTTGGCTCATAATTACTATCATGTCATCAGCGTAGGTGTTGATTACTATTATGTTTCATCATTTCACCCTCAAAAATCTGTAGAACAACCAAAACCTTTTACATTTTGTTGTTTATTTTATGTTCCCGTTTCAATTTAATTTAATTAAACACAGTTAAGCCTGAAGTCTTGATGCATTGTAAAAACATAACCTCCCTGTCTGCTAATATAGCAAGCTAAACGCTTCTCATTTTAGGCTGGTCAGAAATAAAGCTATTTATTTTAACTAGAATTAAGAATGTTTTTTTTTTAGCTTCTCCAAATTCAGAAGTTTGCATACATTTTCCTTATGATTTAATGGAATTCCCAAAATGTTCAAATGTTTCTATCAATAGTTTGCTGGCAAAAGTAAATCAAGTCCTAATGAATCAATTACAGGTAACAGTATGACCAGCTGCAGTTTACACAGTAATTTCGCTGCATGAATCAGGTAACTATACGGTACCTTTACTGTTTCCCACAGGTTGCTAAGAGCAGATACAACGGAAACGGAAAAACTAAAAGTTTTAGCTTAAATAAGAAATAAGGCATAAAAATTAATATTAAATGCCAACTTATTACCTTTAAATTAACAACAGACCTTGATGTCATCAAATGCAAATATTTTAATAATCTCCAAGCTGCCCAAATGTAACAGGGATTGCAGGAATAAAATGAAAGGATCAAAGCTGATGAGATCATTTCTGCTAATGGCTTCAATGAAAAACAGGCAAAAAAAAATCTGTTATCCTTTTGCCATCTGTTTTAAATTTTATAAACTCAAAATTAAACCTGTATAGGCAGGTTGTGTTTTCTGTCTCTTTTAGCAGGATTATGTAAAAACTAGCAATTTAATTTATCCCGATAAATTAAATTGCATTAGGCATGCACAGTCAACCAAGCCAGCTTTTAAATTTCATCCCATTTCACTGAATTCAACTATGATTTAATAAGAATAAGATACTTTCAGTTTTGAAATGCTGAGTTTTCTCTGTTGGGAAATGTATTTACCAAGAAGCTTGGAAATCAAATGCTTTCCTATACATGTACTCAGTTTTCTGAACTTTGTAAAGATTGGGAATAATCATAAAAGTCCATTTCCAGACCTTGTGTGAAGCGGTTTTTTTTTAAAATGCTACTCACCATAGCCAGAGGGATGATGGCCTGAATGTCCCGCTGCACCACCGTGAGCTCCGTCACGACCTTTTCCGAGTCCGGCACCGGGTTCTGTCCCTTGTAGTCGATGTTCCAGTTGATCCTCCTGGTCACCGAGAGGCTGGTGAAGTTCTCCATCTCAAAATCCAACTGCATTACCTCCACGTTCCCCAGCACATCACTGCCAGATTAATGAAAAAGAAGAAAACACACAAAGCACAGTCAAAACTTAAAAAAAAAAAAAAAAAAACTCTGCAGACCACTGGAAGAAACCCTGATCTTCCTGTAAATGAAGTAGAGTAATAATTAGCAATATTGTTGAGTAGAAAGCATTTAAAAGTTACTGTAAGAGAATGGACTTCTATAAATTTCCCAAAATGAAGTAGAAAATATTGATGTGCACATTAACGCGGACCTATTATTCAAAACTTACATTTTGAACTTACCTAAATGAAAGTTTTTATACTTTCAAATCAACTACTTCCAACAACAGCTGTTTTTTGGCAGTAAGTTAATGTTTCTTGTTTCTTGTGACAGGGATATTTCAAAAACATCTAGCAACCCCAACTAATCCCAGCCCGTTACTTAGCAACCCAAGATGAGCTGCAGCACATTTTGTCAGTTGGTTTTACTGCTGTATTCGGTGTACAATGGCTGCTGGAAAAGACAAGAGTTTTGTTGTTGACATTCAGAAACCACTTGATGTATTCTTGTTGGTTGTGCAGGATGCGCCACTTTTGCTTTTCAAAGCAGTTGTATAATTGTGCATTAGTTTGTGAGCATAAACTTTGAGTTGGGCGGGCGTGGCCAGCAGCTGCTTATTTGGATTTAAATTGAAGGAGGCCAAAAAACAGCTCATTCTGAAAAGATTTGACTAGACTAAAATCTCATTACCCGACAATGATTTTGTACAAAAAAAAATAATGAACATGTTTTGTATAAAGCAATCCTGACCTGTTCTTGGAAGCATAACAGGTCACCTTTAAGTGAAGATTCATAGAGACACTTCTCTATCAATCTGGTGTCTCAGAGTATTTTCAGTTTGTTGTCCCTCAGTGTGGAAAATTCAGGTGTTCTAGCAGCAAAGCGAAAGGCAAGATGAAGTGTGTACGTTCATACAAAGGTCAAAATACAAGAAAAATATTGGAAGAAATACTCCACAGATATTAAAAACATCATTCTGATTCAAAATGAGAAAAAACAAAGTAGGATGCATTCATGTTCTGATGAATCAAGGATTTCCACCAAAGTGTTTGACCGCCTGAACCAGGGCAACCTGCTGGAGCACACAGAATAATACATCCCAGATGAAAACGGATGCTAAACCCCCTGAAACAACATCTGTTGTACGTCTGTACAATTTAACATTTGACTATGTCATTTTTGTTCTAGGGTGTACTTACTTTATTACATTAAGCTGAGTTTTTACATGCAAGAATAGCACTAAAGAGCTTAAGGTTAGGTTTTTAACCAATCTATCGTGGTTTCAGATGAGTCTGATTTCTTTAATATTTTGCAGGAGATCTGATTGGATGGAAGCCGATTTCACCCGTTTTTTTCTCCTTTATGCATGAAACCAGTGAGCTTTGGTTTGGTTCACCTTATCTACTCATTTAAAGAAGTTGTCAAACCGTAAATGAACCAATGATTGGTTTTAAATGCAAAGATCTTTTTGTCGATAAACAATCAGCGCTCTTTAATCCTGGTTCAGTTTTAAGTCTGTCCCTCTCACCTTTAGAGTCCCACCAACTGAAAATCCTGCAGGTTTTCTGCAACCTGTGCAAACCGATTTCAGATTTTCAGTTTAACTTTATTTAAATGGAAAAAAATATATCCACTGTTCATATATATAAATGAGTACACAAAAAACTGAAACACATCAATATTTTACCTTTCTTATCTCTAGCATGTTCAGATATTAAACCTTGTAAATTATAGTTGCTAAATTAAATAATTTCTGAATTCCAGAAGGAAAACTTTGTTCAATGCTTAATAAATTATGTCCAGTATTTCATATGCACACTGTTATTAAATTTTAAAGTACTTGAATAAAAAGTGCATGAGTTGGTTCACATTATCACTTTATTAATAGGCATAATAGCTTCTTTTTGTGACTTTCTGAGCAATATGACAACTACTGCATCAAGGAGGAATATTTACATGTATTACATTTTATTTTAAACAATAATCCAATAGTTGTTGCAATTTTATTTCTAAAATATTCCATATGAGACTTCCAACTCAGTTTGTTGCCCAGAATGACACCTAAGACATTTTGGTGTCTCATAAACTGTCGATTTCAACTCCATCTTTGTAGCGTTTTCTCATTTCCTTGCAACAGGCACAAAAAAACCCCTCCCGTTTGTTCATCTCATTTTTACTATCGCAAAACACGCTGGTGATACAGAAGCAATGGAAGCCGACCTGTTATCAAAAGCCTGCGCGCCGGTCCTGTAATCCCCGGGTTCAAGAAGCCTAACATTAAACTGTCTCGCTGGTTGTGAAGGGGCAAATTAATTCCCTCTCCACTCTTGATGGGAGTCGTTCCGCCCAGACGTCACCTTTCGCAGAGAGTGAAGCGCCCGCTGTCTGTTCGCTCACAAAAGCAGGAGCCCGCCCCCTGAATTCGGCGTGTGAGGCTTTTAATGAAAGCGAGATCAAACTCCGTATGATCCTCCGCCTACACCGGGTTCCTCTCCCCGGAACATCGTGATGAGATCTCTGCCTATTTGTCTCGACATCACTCACTGAAAACAAACACCCCTGTCTGTCTGTGAGTCAGTGGAGCTGTCATGAACGCGGCCCACCGGAGGGGAGGCAGCGCAGGTACAGTCGCTCCATATGAGGCCAACTGGCTGTAAGCTGGGAGGGAGAGACTGAGGGCTCCTCTGTCCAGGTGAAGAGCTCCTGAATCAGCATAAAAATGATTCCTGCTGCAGGCCGACTTAAACATCCAGGAGAGCACTCACACCAACCCTGTTTAGTCCACTTTAATCCAACTAAGCCCGTCATGGTAAATTTCCCCTCGTATTTATTGTGATAAATGATGACATTGTTTTAAAACTACTTTCTGGTTCCAGTTCCAAGACCAATAAACTTTAATTTTATAAAGAACAGATAACACTAGAACTTGGGGATATTGTAAAAATCCTAAATAAACACAACAAAACAATAATTACACAGCAAAAAACACAAAATCTTACCAAGTATTTCTGTCTAGTTTCTCATGCAAATATCATAGTTCATTTGAAGTAAGACTAAACTAACTCAGAAGTAGCTATTCAGAAAGATATAGGAGCTTTTTTTAAGCTAATAATTTATTACTATTGTGAGACTCGTGACCTTTAAGTAAATAACTCTTGTAAACAGTCTGTTTGCTCTTCATTAACATAAAAAAATGCTAGAATTTCTTTAGGTTACTCTAGTCAGCTGCACATCTCCTTTAATGCTGCTTTTAAAATGTCAGTCTTATTTTCTCAGGTTACCCCAGTCTCTTTTATATATATATATATATATATATATATATATATATATATATATATATATATATATATATATATATATATAACCTTTGTGTGAATCTGTATGTTTCCTCTTCCTCTTGTTCCTTTGCTAAGTTTTCCCACTGAGGTACAATAAGTGATATAAGTGATATTTCTTTTCTATTATGTGCAATAATCTCCATTTCCTCCAATAAATTAACCTGCCTCACTGCGTCCTCTCCACTACAATCAGATTTGATAAGTGATGAATAACAAATTTATATTCAACCTATGGGGGGAGAAAAAGAAAGATAACTTCATAGCAACGGGCAGAAAAACGAACATGATTCAAGAAAGCAGAGCTCTGTTCCCATTAGGTTAACGATGTACATTGTGTAGAGGACAAAGTGTGTATATTAAAAAGCAGGGCTTGGGGGTTTTTCAGAGCAGAGGGGAGGATTTCATACTTTGATCAGAGGTCTGTTTGAACTGATTTATAGGGAGAGTTCAATGGATCAAAGAAGCTGCAGGCCGACAACAGCAGGAGAATAAAAACGATGTATGCAGAGGTTAAAATGGTTCAACAAAGAAAATGGAGCTCTTAAATAGACCATAATATGCTCAGTTATGAACCTGTTTAACAACCTTTTCTCTTCTACTTGAGTGTTTTTTGCTTCTGAGGTTCTTCTGATGTCTACACTGACGACTGAAAGTATTCAGATTCACGTTTAAAATAATCTTAATCCTCCCTACAGCAGTGATGATGGCAAAATCTGGCAAATTGAACCTACTAGCAGGCCGGGCTATGATAATCTGTGTTCAGTTACGAGAATGCAGTCATGATGTCAGCAGAATAAAGATGAATTTATCAAAAAATAAGTCATAAAATTTTTTGGGAAAAAACTGTTTTAGTCATAGCCATACACCATTAGAGTTAACCTGATGGAATATGAATCCAAAGTCCACATAAGTAAAAGCTGTAAAACGTGCCTGTCAAACAAGATGGCGGCTCAGAGGATGGTGACATCACTCTGAACTATGGAAACCGAAGGAGTGCATTGGGGAAAGAAAAAAAAAAAACAAAAAACAAAAAAAAAAACAGAAAACCACTATTTTCCAAAAATAAAATCTTCAAAAAACAAAAATTACATTAATTGAGCATTAGATTTTTGTTTGGATGTTTTTTGAAAAGCACTCATCTTTTTTAAAGAAACTAAATTAGGCCATTTTCAGTCATGTTTTAAATCCTCAAAACAAACATTGTGGACGTCCAAATGAGCAAATTGTGTCGTTTTAAAAGAGACATTTTCTCTGTTTCAGATTTCCTGAGTGGTTGGCAGTCAGTACCAGCATTTTACAAAATGACTTTTTATCTGTTATCCTACTGAGTTCTTAAAGCAAAAAATAAAAAAATAAAAAAAAAAAAAATCCCAGAATCTTATTAAACGATCGACTTTTTCTTTGCGCAGGTTGCAACGGCGATATTACCAGGCTGTTTTGGAGAGCATTATTTATCCCAAGCCCACTGACAGCGATCAATAATGCATTTGTTCATGCGGCGTTACCAAGCAGTTGCTATTACAGAATGAGATTGTTCCAGGTGGATGGGTACAGGAAAAGACAAAGTACATTGGGCAGTTCCAGCACTTAAGTAAAGTTTAATTGAAAAAAAAAATAGGAGGGATTGTAGAAAAATAAGTGAAGAATAAAGACGGAGAGGATGATGAAAGAAATAGCAGAAGGTAGAACTAAAACTTTCACTTCACTTAGTCATAAGTGACTGTAAAGCTGCATTAACGCTGCCATAGGTTTATATTTTAACCTTAAATTAGATTGAAGTTTAATTTAAACTGGTGGATGAATGTGTATTTAACGAGGGGGGAGCCGGGATGGACCCGAACAAATCAGAATCAGTTTTATTAGCACACAGTGTTTTCACACACAAGGAGTCTGACTTCAGCTTCAAGCGCTTGCTTCGTACCGACATTAATTAACTAATCAACTTAGATTTGAATTTCTTTTAACAAGCATGATAAAAAAAACAACATATTGTACAACTTCAGAATGTATGGGGACTATGATGAGGAAAAATGTAATACAAATAATTCAGATCAAAATCACAGGTCAGGTGTGAGAAAAAAAAATCATCATTACATTTACTTAATTTTGAAGCATTAGCTTTAGAGACAAATGCTAAATATAAAGAAAATATTCAATTCCTTCCAATTCTTGATAAATCCTTCCATACATGAATTCCATACAGACGGTGGAGTCCGACAACGACAGGCGCTTAAATTCCATAACAAAAGTATGTTTTTATCTTTTTTTTAAAAATCCTTTTTTATTTCCAAAATCTGTCACTTTTTTACTGTTTATTCAATGTCAAATGCTGTTTTTATTTTGCTTTTTTAATTATGTAAAGGACCTTGAAATGCCTTGCTGCTAAAATGTGCTATACAAATAAAATTTGATTGATTGATTAATTCAATTCATTTCATACATCTCCTTTCCCCTGGACCTTATTTTGCCACCTCCTCATAATGTTTTTTTTTTTTTTAAACTGTGTGCTACTTTTGTTTTATGAAAACTATTTCTATTCTAATAACTGCACATATCTCTACATTATAATCATGTACAGTATATCATTATTACTTTTATTGTTAATCTTCTATATATTCTTCAACACTTTTGGAACTTTTGGTGTGAACCTATGTATTTGATGCTATTACACCTGAATTTCCCCTCTGTGGATTTATAAAAGGATATTTCTACTATATTTTTTAATAAGTGTACAGTATTATTTTCCTATGCTGTAAATTTGCTCGGCACAGTTTCTTATTCGTTTATCGTTTTTATGTCTTTACACATTTTTACATATTTCTATTCTAAAGTACATGAATGTTTTATGCTACAATGAGTGTGAATGTACCAAGACTACACAAGAAAGATTATAGAAATTATTTCAAAGTTCTCCTGGACTATTTTGCCACAAAGTCCATCCACATTTTTAAGCAAAAACTGTTAACAAATTTTTACATGGAAATATCAAAAGGAATTGGTCATTTTATCTTCTTTAAGGTAATTTCCAGTCAGCTTGATTTGAATAAAACATCAAAACCTGATTTGTTTCATGAACTTTGGTCGTTTACCTTTCAGGTTCACACAGACCTGCTTTAGTTTTTGACTAAATGCAGTCTGACACATGGTTCCTCCATCCACGCTTGACCCCTACTGGACATTTCCCACATGTTGACAGGGCGGCAAAGATTACAAGACACGGGTCACCAAATATGGCAGGAAAGGTGTAAACAAGAGAGAAATGGTGGGCCTTTTTCTGTTTCTTCCGGCGACTCCTCTTCCGGCCATAAGGGCGTCCGCGGGGATGCTGGTATGTGGAGCAGCCGCGGCTAATGTCTCCAGTCAAACTCCCATTGCTTCGGTTTTTAATGAACCAAACGCACTGCAAAGTTTGATAGATGGTTGCTAATTTTTAGTTGCTTCCCCTCAGTGGCTGGAGCTCAGAGGTGGAGGAAACCTTTGCTCTTGTAAAGCCCCAGGAGTAAAACGTGATGGATGTTCTCTCTGTGTGTGTTTTTAGAAGGGATTATTTACCTGAATTCAACACCCACAATAAAACCACTGATATTTGAAGAAATGTTTCACATAGAGCTGTTCTGAATCAGATAAAATGTAAAAATAAAAACACGCATCCAAGAAAGTTTATTAGTATTTTAATGGGACTAAATGGAACGAAGCCTCAATTCTGATAGGCCAGTTTAAAAGCTGTACAGTCAGTTTAAATACATTTTTTCATTAAGCCCACATTTTTGTATTAATGTGTTTTTGTTTTTAACTGACGTGATTTAATATTCTAATCTTAAATGTTGTGTTTTCATTAGCTGTAGGAAGAAAATCATAATAAATGTGACTAGATATGTTTCACTTACTGAATTAAGTTACTAAAATAAATCAAAGGTTTCAATATTATTCTATTTTACTGAATGTGTGTTATTTATAATATTTTGACCAAAATCTGTGCTCATAATTTTGTTCTGCAAATAACCAATAGACAACTTGTGATACAGTGGCACCCTGGGCAGACAGCCATATTGTCCTTAAAAAAACAAAAAACAAAAGCAACACTGGTAACCAAACTGTCTTGCAAAACATAGATAATCTAAAAAAAAGGAAGCTGATACTGCAAATAATGTAGCTACATATTGTAGTTTATTCAGCCTCTTCATTTCTTTTTAGAAAATTATTGGTTTGTAAAATAGTGCTTTATTTTGTGTCATTTTATTGTAACATCGTAAATTTACCAAAATAAAGCTAATCTGATTTGATTTGTCTCTCTGGCAAAAGTTAATTTTTAATCAAATTCACTTCACTTTCCCTCATGAACAAATAATTTAGCAGAACATTTAAAGAATCCAAGAAAATATCTACAGGTTAGGGTTAAATTAAACAATTTAATCAGACTGATCACATTCTCTGTTGCACTCCAACCAATTAAAATGCAAGAACTTATCTGATTTTTTTTCTGCAGTAGAAAGCAGGTAATGTAGTCTCACAGTACTCAACATCTACTAAAGGAAACTTGCTCCACTACACATCCATATAAGTAGTATCAAACTTGTTCAGAGGAGAACTGACAGATAAGATATCATTTATTTTCTAGGTTTTGGGTGCCCCACCCCTTTCCAATGCCACCCGGGGCAACTGCCCATAGCACCCATGTCAAAAACTGCCACTGTGTGAAGGTTTTTATAAAAATTTTAAGAAAATGTGTTATTGTCTCAAACTAGCATGTCTGATGATCCTCAGTTTTCCATTATTTAATATTCAGGAAGCTTTAAAGGAAGTCATTTTGTTCCAGTTCCTCTCCATTCATTTCCTTTAGAACTCGTGCAATGAGGCGACAGTGGCTTGTCCTCATCCAGCCGAGTGACCGGTGTAATTTGTGCATGTGAAATGTCAAGCTCATACTATAGATGTTTACACTCAGATTAGTGACGCAATACAAGAAAACTGAAAAATGTTCAACTTATGTTGCTGTCATGGAAAACCTTCACCTTTTGCGGTCGTTTGTCATTCCTCGTGTATCGAATCATAGCGTGCTGCTTGAACTGGGTAACCCTCCAATGGAGAAAGGCTGTTAGGTCAAGATAGTAGTTCAATTAATCTGCGCTATGTCATATTAATGGCATAACATTTTTAGATTAATTGCATGTAAGCGCATTAATGTTGACAGTCCTAGTTTTTAGCTTTGCCCTGTAAAATACTGTCTGCACTTTGTCATCCAGTGCCTGGTCCTAAAGAAGTATTTTACTACTAAAAAAATGGTGGGAACTTTCCCAACTTCACTATAACCAATGGTTTATGACATATTTATTGACTTTGAGTCTCTTATTAGGACAAATATGAGTGTATTTGTGTGAGAGGAGCTTGGGAGAGTGCAGACACTTTGACTTACCCCTGCTTCACTGCCTTGTTCTTGCTCACATTGATGGTGGTGATGGAATGCTTGGCGCCGGGCTGCACCTCCCAGTCTACCTTCCACTGAGCATGCTTGGACTTGGTCTGCAGCAGGTTCACCCCTTTCTTCGCTTTGACCCTGCGAGGAAACGGCAGGGAGGAAAAAGAACGGCACCAGTCAGTTTTATTACAGGGTATGATTTATGTGGCGGGTCGAGGGTGAGCGCCCCCTGTGCGTGCAGCGGACCTCCACCTTGTGTTGCATCACAGCAAAAGCAATACCACAGATGAATCAGCTGTAGAGATGAATGGAGACGGCAGAGCGGTGATGCATGAGGCCGGTGGGCTGGGACCAGTGCATGTCAGGCTGTTCGCCAACGCTTCCACAACCCCTCAAACAGAAGCCACTGGGCATTTCTACATTATTAACAAGCAACATATGAAGGCTCTATTCATATGCCGGGTGGACTTGTGTGTCATTGCACCTGCATCGCAATTTTTTTTTTCTTTCCAATTTCAATCGTTTGAGTTTTTGACACTAAAATATGGTATTCTGTTCTTGGGAAATCTTGCTTTTCTAACCTTCAGCTCCATGGGGAGAATCTCCTTGTAGAGGGAAGTCAAGGTTAAAGAGAGGACATGGTTGATATTTTTCCTCAAACATCCTACAGAAGTGAGAATGTTTGAAACTTCCAGAATTGACACTAAAATCGACCAAAACGTGAATGGAACAGATTGAACACTGAATATTTTACTGGCATAAGGGACGCTTGTTTTATTTAATTAAAACCAAATTCGCTTCAGTGTACAGCTAAAATATATTATGTAAAGAGGAGATTCATGATGTATGTGAAACATATATTTCAATAATAATAATTATAAAAAAACTTTATTTTTGCACATAGCCAGCCCTGGTTTAAGGATAATAAATGCAGAAAAGTAACAGTATGTTACTTTGCATCTCCACGCCACCTATAATTATGCTTACCAATCTAAATACAAGCAAAGACATGCATGCATGGATGCACACACCAATTTACATAAGAACCAACATATGCTGCACATTCAGTAGTTTGCAGTGTCTGGAGAGAGTCCTCTTACACAACATAAAACCACAGAGTGCATACTTACAAACAAGCTTTATGTAACCACATTAACCTGCAAAACCTTCAGAAATTCAAATGGACGCCAAAAACTATACATGTTATATCAGCCTGCACTGAAAGGGAACTGAAAGGTGGAGAGGGAATGCTATGTTTGTAAATATTTTTATTAAAAGGAGTAGACGCCTTGCATCCACAAATGTATCAGTCCGTTACAGTATCATGTTTTCAGGCTTGATGTTTATTTTTGCGATTAATAATCAATTGTCTAAACACAGCGGTGGTTGACTAGCTAATTTAAACATCTGCACTACTGATGATCTGCCAGAGTGTTGGTTTGTGGGTTGCCTCTGTTTTTTCTTTTTTATTTTTTATTTTTAACTGAATCAAAACATTTAATTCTGCAGCACACCTACATGTTAAAATAGTCAAAGTCAAGCTAGCATATTTGACCTACTTCACTCTCCCTCGCGATCGTTTTTAATTAAAAACTTTTCCAGGTCTTGTTATCTAGATCAGTGGTCCCCAACCTTTTTATTACCGTGGACAGGTCACGACTTGGAAATTTTGCGGGGAACTAAAACAAGAAACTAAAACAGGAAACACAGGAAATTAAAACAACTGATTTCATTTTTTTCTATTAATGAATTTAACATTCAAATATTTAATTGTGTACAAAAAGAATTATTTGACCATATGCTTAAATAGGTTTGTTTGTGTGTAGTTATATAATATTTAGTCTATCTGATACTCCATAATAATTACTTAAGGAGTAATTTATTAAATTGTGAGAATA